AATGTAAATACTTCCATTCAAAGCCTGGATTTTTATTTTTTTAAATGTGTTATGTATAAAAAGCATTAAAAATAAAATGATATAGAGAGTTTAAAAGTAAAAGAATGGAAAAGATACACTCTGCAGACATTCCCCCCAAAACACTAGACTAGTTATATTGGTATCGGAAAAACATAGGCTTCAAGGCAAAAACTCATGAAAATAGAAACCTATTAATAAAGTCGTCAGTCCACTAGGAATTTATAGCAACTCTCAATTTGTAGACATGTAATAACACAGTAAATTAGTAGACATCTAATAACATAGACCTGGATCTACTTGTGCCACCACCTGGCCCCTAAAAGTGGATTTTTATTTAGATCCCTACCAATCTATCTCCATAAAAATTCCATTTCCTTCCTAATTAATATGCTGGCTTAAATATGGTATGGTTGTCATCATTTTAATGAAAAGAGCCATACATGTTTAAATTGATAAAGGTTGATTAAAGGTTCCACTTGAAGGTATAAAATAGAACAGACAGGGCCAGCAGGTGGCATGATGGTTAAAGGCCTGGATTCCCACATGGCTGACTGCAGTTTGTGTCCCAGACCTGGAGGCTTGCTTTCTCGCTTTCCCTTTCTCTCTCTCTCTATCTCTGTATGGTCAAATTGAAAAGAAAATAATAATAACAAATGGAACTGAAAAAATAATTTTTTAAAAATTAGGACAGACAACTTATGAGAGAGATGCTTTGCTAGACCAATTCATTTTCTTTTGGCGGGGGAGAGGTTTTTTCTATAGGGTGCGAGCACTCGCCAGAAAGACAGAGAAACAGAAAGTAAGAAATCACCCCCCAGGGGGAATGGCCACGCCACAATCCCTTCTCCATTCCCCTCTCAGGATCTTGGGCACGCATGCACACATGCCTGGCCCGGGATTTGAACCACAGTCGACTATATGGGAGTTCAGTGGCATAGCCGTTACACTAACTGCTGGTCCCCCCAGTTCATTTTAATATAGCAGTGGCTTGTTTCTGATTTGGAAGACAGTGGCCTAGGCATTTGCTCTTGCAAATAATTTCAAAGGGATGTGTTTTGATGTGGCAGCTTGTGGAAAGTCTACTTAGGACTGATAGATACAGGGCGTTGGGGGATCCACTGGCTTGCTGTTCATCCAGACCAGGGCTGTAGAAACATGAACTGTGACAGGGAGTTGGTGCCAACGAGGCAAAAAATTAGATATGATCTGTTTATGGCAGAATCGAGGATAAGGCATTTTGAACATTTATGCATTAATTATGCATATTATTTCCCCGGTTCCTTTGATTTAACTTAAAGTGTATTCAAACACCACCAAAGGCCTTTTTTCTCTACTGAATTTGGTTTTTTAATTTTTTTTTTTTTTTGAGAGCGAGAGAGATTTTTGATATAGGGCATGTACGCTCACCAGAGAGACAGACAGAAAGCGAGAAATCACCTCCCAGGGGGGATGGCCACGCCACAAGGCCTTCTCCACCATTCTCCTCTCTTGGGCAAACACTCCTGGTGTGAGTTTCAACCCACCAGGTCAGTACTCAAACTGTGGTGGCCCACTTGGGAGTCCGGTGCCTTAAGCACTATGCCACCTGCTGGAACTCATTTCTTTCCTTCCTTTTTTTTTTTTTTTTTAAAACGAGGTTTTTGCCTTAGGAAGTGTGAGCTTGCTAGAGAGACAGACAGACAGAAACAATGAGAGGGAAAGTGAGAAACCTTCCCCACCCCCCATGGCCACACACAGCAATACCTTTTCCTTCTTTCTCCTCTTGGGATCTTGGGGACACAGGCAAATACGCTGGGTGTGACTTTCTTTTTTTTTTTAAAGAATTATTTTATTTTTAACTTTATTTATTATTAATATCATTATTATTTTTCAGTTTGATCAGAGAGAGACAGAGAAAGAGAGAGGAAGTGAGAAAGCAAGCCACCAGATCTGAGACTTGAACCATGGTCGGCCGTGTGGGAATCCAGTGCCTTTAACCACCACGCCACTTGCCAGCCCCCTGGGTGTGACTTTCAAAGCCACCAGGTCCCAGGATTCCAACAGCTAAAGGCCATGTGAGAGTCCAGCAACATAACCACTACGCCATCTGCTGGTTCCCAGAACCGGGTTTCTTAAACTTTGAAAGAAATGATCAAAAAGAAATAGGCGTTTTGCAAGAAACTGGCCCATAACAAGCATTCTCCCAGGGACTATTCTCTATTCTCCGGGTAGCACATGTTCACTCTACAGCATGCTGGAACATTTCAAACGTGAAAACGGCCCCTCGCTCCTTCCTTCTTCCATTAGGAAACTGCTGCTGGGAAGAGTATGAAGTCCAGACAGGGTCATCTCAATCTCAATAAGTCAAGGCCTTTGACCTGGGTTTTTCCACTCTCGTTCCACTCTCTCCCCACTGTACGTTTCATCTCAAATACGACCCCGCATGGGCTTATCAAAATAATAGGGAAAAAAAAGAAACTTCTCAATGCCACCTCGGACAGTGGCTATGGCCCGCAAGGTTCTCACATAGTTAAGACTGGCAACCATGGTGCATTAACCTTTCCTTAAACAACCAGAGAGAACCATGCTGCGCCAAGCCTGGATCACAGAAGGACCCTGTAACTTAAAAGATGAGAAAGTGAAAACCAAGAAAGAAAACCCTGTTTTTAACAGTTCACCCCTCCCCTCTCCAAATCATTTAGATTCAGTATTAACTCTGTTCGCCTTTCACGTCTTCACTTTAAACAAACAAAAAACCGTTGCAGAGAAAGGCGATTGGGACGTAGAGAGAGGACAGTGGAGAGAAAAGGCCAGAGGCGGTTCTGGGGTGGCTCGGCTCCGTACAGTCCAGAAGCACCACTGAGGACCAGCGGCAGGTGCGGGCGCAGGAGGCTGTGCACGCGTAGGGGGTGCAGGCAGCTGCTCTGGGCACTCTGCTGTATTTAGGTTTTCAGCGCCCGCCCGCATCCCTAACCTCCCACCCCATTTGGGTAACAGGGAAAGGGCTGGGGAAGATCCCAGAGCACCCTCAGAAAACGACTTTTGGGAAGATCCCGAATAAGTGGGTGAGATTAAGGAAAGAAAGGACGTTAAGGTCAAAAAATCTTCAAGTTCCCTATTCGCCACTGAACTGTTCCTAGCGAGGCGGGGAAGCCGGGCGGCCCAGTGCGCAGGACCCCGAAGGGCGGGGCGGAGCCGTGCAGGAACCTGAGGCCCCGCCCCTCGCGCCAACCTCCTTCCTTGCCATTGGAGGGCGTCGGGGGCGGGTCTGAGAGACGCCCCCCTCTCGCCACCAGTCCCCGCCCCGCCCTCTACCCGCCCACGGTTTCGGCTCTTCCCGGAGCCTCCAAACTCTGGGATTGGAAACACCCGGGGCCGCCTCTGTGCCCCTAGACTCCGGAAAGGCGAGCCCCCCTGCCGCCCCGCCCGCGGGTCGGTGACGTCACCAGGGGCAGGGCGACATGGCTCCGCCCCCGGGCCCGGGCAGCCACCTCTAAGTCTGCGGCTCCCGCGGGACGCGGTTTGGGGCAGCCCAGTGCAGACGCTGCACGTCACCAAGTGCTGCAGCTAGGACCCCCGTGGCTCTCCCTCAGCCCCTCGGTGTACAGCTCGGACCACCTCCCCGTTTTACCTTTCTCTTTCTCGCCCTGTCACTGTATATGTGTCTCCAAATGGTTGAGTACTGGGACGCTGAGATCCACGCCGGAGTGGTCACAGCCTGGAGAAAAAAAAAAACTCGATGACAGAGCTTCTCAACTCGTTTGCAATTCCACTGCTTATCTGATACCTCGATGACCTCTCTTCTGTCGTTTTGCAAGACTAGGGGGGGTCCTTTTTCTTTTTATCTCTTTGCAAGCTTAAGCTGCATTTGATTAAAGACACTAGGATTTAGGAGGGGGTGTGTATCAGAGAAAGGGAGAAAACTAATGCTTTATTGCATTTAGAAAGGAAATAACCGTGTTTATAGTTCAATCTTAATTCAAGATACCATCAGTAACACCTTGAACGCTGCACAAAAGCAGCTGCAGAAGAGTCTGAGTCTACGCAGAGTTGGTGCCTGAACATCAAAATACAGTGCAGGTGTGTGTGGGTGTGTTGTGCGTGTGCGTACGTGCTGTACGTGTATGCGTGTGTGTACGTGTGTGTGCTGCCCAACAAATAACCCCATGAGATGCATCACATAAGAAAAAAAATAAAAAAAGCCCGCACACTAGCATTTGCCTTGGAAATTTCCTAAAGCTCCAAGAGTTAATCACTAGTCTCCAAAAAATTTCTTAGCTGAGGCGCCTTCCTGGATAACCTTACCGTCCCCTAAAACAGGTGTCTCCGCGTCTTGTGAAGGGGCCTGTAGCCCTAACCCGCATCAGGGGTGGTGAAATTCACAGCGGGCACGCGGTGTATATTTCAGGGGCCCCATGTGTGCAAAGCAAACCCCTCGGGCCTGGGCGTGTACGCGCACTCGCGTGCAGTGTGTGCGGGCGGGCACGGAGGCGCTCAGCTCTGCTCCCAGCCGTGCGCGCGGGTGTGTGTGTGTGTGTGTGTGTGTGTGCGTGCGCGCGCGCGCGTTAGTGCCAGGGCCGGGTTGTGTGCTCACGCACTCCAGGCTCAGCCCAGAGCTCAGCTGCTGGGCTGGAGAAAAAGAGAGTAGGCATTTGCAGGGGGCTGGTGGCCAAGGGGGCTTTGGAATTAATAGAGCTGGCTTAGCTGGTTTTTGCTCTCTGGCTCCCGAGGCTTTAAACCCCCCTGCACCGTAGAGAAGAGGCTGGATTCGCTGTTGTGCTGATGGAGAAGGGGGAGCAGGTTGAAACAATCGAGTGGGCGCGCCAGGACTCCCCGGCTTCAGGCGGGGAGGGGAGGGAGAGCCCCTGTTCTGCGCAGGGAGCAGGCGGGGGTGGGGGGGGGCAGCAACGAGGAGGCGGGGGTGACCGCGAGGGTGGGAAGTGGTCACCCAGGAGGCGAGATTTCGTTGAGATCCTACATTAATTGGAGATATTTGATTAATTCCAGTTTCTGATGACTATAAATGGCGATTTTCTACCAAGGTGTCTATTAAAAAAAATCATTTCGTGTCATCCCCCACGTCAGGCCTGCTCGTGGGCGTGAGGCTGTACTTCCTCCGCCCCCTCCTAATGGAGTGAACCATTCCCAGCTCTTCCCCTTCTCTCGCTCTCTCAGCCTCTCTCTCTTTCTGTCTCTTCCTCGCTCCCTCTCTTTCTCTCCTCCCTCTGCCTTCCCGTGCATAAAGTCTCCGTCGCTCCCGGAACTTGTTGGCAATGCCTATTTTTCAGCTTTCCCCCGCGTTCTCTAAACTAACTATTTAAAGGTCTGCGGTCGCAAATGGTTTGACTAAACGTAGGATGGGACTTAAGTTGAACGGCAGATATATTTCACTGATCCTCGCGGTGCAAATAGGTAAGTGGCCGCCCGGCCCGGCTCCCCGAGAGCTGCGGGGAACAACTAACCTCGGAGGGGAACTGGCAGGGGAGCACCTAGGCACCGAGGGGGGCTGGCTGGCCCGCTGCCGCTCCGGGCTGCGGAGAAGCCCGCAAACCCTCGAGGGTGAGGAGGGGCTCCTGGGGACGTGCGCGTCCGGGCTTGGTTTTCCTAAAGAAAAAGCCTCCAAACGTTCCCCAGGAAATGTGTGCATCCTGTCTTATCCCGGAGGGGGTTTTCCCCCTTTTTTCCAAAGCGCACATCCATTTTGCTTTCCTCTCTGGGCTAGGTGCGCTCTGGGACAACGCTTTGGCCCCTACGATGCTGCAAGAAATTATTTTAAGGGGTCGAAAGGTGAATGTAGGAACCAGAAGGCTAGGCAGCTAGGACTGGAAAGTTTATGTGCAGAAAGCAAAGATATTCCAGGGCACAGACTGCTGCATTTAGAACTTTGTCATCCCGCCCCCTCCCCCCATATTCTAGCTGCAGCGTTTGCACCGGGCACCGCAGACCCGGCTGGGGGGCAAAGCGAGACTGCCAGAGAACCCCAGACCACGAATTTTAATATGCATACCGTTGAGAATGAATTCAGTCAAATGTCCCTCGAGATACTTTTCTAAGCACGTCTGCCTGTTCTTTGACACATTGGCCATCTGTATTTTAGGTAGAGGAAAGGGTTAAAAAGTGTTTGCAATATGTCAGGTCGAGTGTTTGTTATTTTTGTTTGTTTGGGGTTGATTTTGGAAAGATTTATTTAGTCTGTGTTATGTTAAGGAATGTTGAGTGGTAGTTGCACTGTCAGGGGGGCTTCTTAAAGTTCACATTTATTTTCCATCCAGAATGAAGAAAAGGTTATGGGAGGGGGCACTAGAAAAATCTTCTTTTGTGATACTTGATCAGAACATTAATTAGTGTGACCTAAAAGTGAAAGTGAAGCAGGTTATTAATAGAATGGACAAGGGAAGAAAATAGAAACTCTTCAAAAGGGTTTTCTAGATATGGAAAGAATTGTTACTGCCTATGGTTGCAGGCTGTAGAATTCTTTGCAGACAAATCCTTGCAGTACTGGGGAGGGGAATGCTTTAGGGAATTGATTTGGGGCAAAAGAAAGCATGCATAATATTTTCCTTCCTGAGACATGTAGAGCAATAGGTTTAGCGCTTACTTGGGTTATAATGGATTTTTTTGCAGTGAGGTTTTTATGCATTTGCTATGCTTTTTGAGTTTCTCCTTTTTTTGCAAAATAAAAACAATATAGGAATTTTAGAGTGGAAATGCAGGATGTTGGTTTTCTTTCAATTCTAAGAGATGACTTGATATTTGGAATCTGGCTGTTTAAAATTGTTGTCATTAGTGCAAAGAGCTTGCAATAAGTTAATAGCATTTCTAATAGTTGCAAATCCTTTAAATGTTGAAAATAAGTGAATGTGATGTTTTGCAGTTAGCCTGGGAATTATTAACGAGCAGTTGTTCTTGAGATGGGAATTTTAATCGGAGGAGGTTTGGAGCTCCGTTTTCCCAGTGGAAATAACCTTACTATGAGAAGCTTAAAGGGAGAGGGAGAGAGAGAGAGAGACAGAGAGAGAGAGAGAGACAGAGAGAGAGAGAGAGACAGGCGTTGTGCAGGAGGGATGCGTTTTGAACACATTAACCTCGGCCTGAAAATGACCATTTGTTGGCTGTGGAATTGAAATTGAGACTGTTTGTTCCAGAATGTCTGCCCTTTCCTGCACCAGAGCCTCAATCTTTATTAATTCATGGCTGGGGGCTGTCCCAAGGCATTGACATTTGGCAAAAAAAAAAACGAAAAGAAAAGGGAAAAAAAAGGAAAAAGAAAGAAAAGAAAAGAAAGTGGGGGTTGGGAAGGAGCGGAGAGGTGGAGAGGGTGGTAAACGCGAATGAAGACGCAGCGGGAGGAAGTTTGGAATGAATGAGAGAGGTCGAACGAATGAATGGACGGGTGGAAACCGCACAAGACAGGGACGCCAGAGAGGACGGGGAAGGAGCCCGGGACGCCCGCTCTAGCTTGGAAGAAGCCAGGTTCAGAAAGGACAGCAAGGGACGCTCGATCTGTGACCTGCAGGGACGCATGCTCCTGCAAAATCTGTCCCGCGCGCAGGCTCGGGCCTCCCACAGCAGGCTAGAGCCCAAGGAATCACAGTTGCAGAAGACAGAAATTTTCATGACTTCTTATTTTACACACGCACACACTCACACATGCGCGGTGTGCAGGGTCTTCTTCAGCGGCTCCTGGAAAGATAACGTGACAGGAGCACTTCCCGCCCCCGGCCAGCCCCAATTCCCCCACAGAAAATTATTGTTGCATTTTAAGCGCTTCAGTTTCGCTACCGAGTTTGAGGGGAAGAGGGAAGGGGTGAGTGAGGAGAGATCGAGGGCAGGGAAAGCTGGACCGTTTTTGTTTCGCTGCAAAGCTGTATTTGTGACATGCATTCTAAGGGAAGATGTCTAGGATCTGTCTCATTTGGACCAAGTTCTGGCAGCACAAAGATTCGTTTATTCTTGACATTCTGTGTCAGCGTTCGATTTGCTGTTCTCGTCGTCGCCAGGGTATTTCATTTTTCGTGGAAGGGGAATCGGGAGGTTTAGGAAGGTTTACGTTCTCCCCCCCAGCCGAGGTCGAAGTTAACCTTGGTCCCTTCCCCAGCGCTTCCCGTTCCGGATTAGAAAGCGTAAGGCCCGCCTTGTTCTTCCTGCTGCGATTTGCAAACGGTGCGCTCTCTGAGGCTGCTGCGGTTCGGTCACCTTCCTTCTCCGTGGCGTGTGGGCTGGCGTTTAGGGACTGGCGACAGCGTGGCAAGCAGAGGGCAGTGAGGTGCATGGCCCTCCGGGGATGCATTTACACACAACCCACGGCGTCCAAAACACTGCAGAGGAAGAGCCCGGCGCCCCCACGGTTTTAGGAGTTGAAGGCAGATTTCAGCCCTTATTCCGCTCCCTGCTGCAGTTAGCGCAGTACCTTCTCCCGCACCCTCCTGGTGCCTGAGGGCTTTTGGCGCTCGGTTTCAGCCTCTAGCCCTGTTTCTTGACCGGAAGAAAAGGCCATCGCAGAGCACGGAGGCCTGGAGCCTGCTCCTTGGGTCTGGTGCCTTAAGCTTTGGCAGACCTGAAGCTAAGAGCCCAGATGTCCGTGTCCCTGGGTTTGTGCATTCTCCCGCCGCTACCGATTCCATCCTGGGTCCCTTGTGTTGGGAGCCAGGATCTAGAGGCAGGCCCAGAGCTCTGGGCCCTAAGGAGCTTGAGCTCAGCAGCCCGGCAGGGACATGAACTAGAAAGGTCTCATTCTGCTGCTGTGAGATTAGAGGTGGACTTTTAGGGTGCTGCTAGGAGGGTATGCGGAGAGCTGAGCAACTGACAGTCCCAGGAAATTAGGCGTCCTGAGGTTCCAGGATTCAGCCTCCGCGGAGGAGGTGATCCGGGATCACCCACGCAGAAACATTCCCACCCGACCTCTGTCCCTGATCACCCCAAGCCACTCGTCACTCACGCGGGTCTCAGGACGCTTAGGGTGCCCTCTTGCTAGTGGGGTGAGGGAAGAGCGCGCCAGTGAGCCAGTCTCATTCGAAACTCAGACCCCACCATAGGAAATCGGCCTTACAATGAAACCATCCAGTTGGGTGATGCTAGAGGCTCCCAGAGACTTTATTTACTCTTTCGCTCATTCAGCAGTATTTACTGAGTGCCCACCGAGTCCTCAGCACTGCGCCCGAGGCTCCACTAGATCTCAAAACATGGTGTTGGGTGCAGCTGCGTGACCCCACAACTTGCTGCCTCCCCACCCAGCTCCACGGTCTAGACTCCCTCTGTTGCCTCAGAAATGGAAGAGCGCATTGAGAGAGTTGGGACAGGGCTTGGAGGTGGTTGTGTTGGGAGATCAAGAAGGGGGAGAGGAGAAAGTGAAGTGAAAGAGATGAAGGAGGTGAGAAGAGGGGGTGTTGGAAACAGAAAAAGATACAGAGCGAGATGCCAAAGGGAGCTGGAGGAGAGGAACGGACTCCACCTCCCCAGCCACCCACACCCACACCCGCTCACACACTGACAACCAGCACAGGCCGCGCAGTTGGGTGCAGGTCGGTCATTACAGGGCCAGTCTTTCCTCCACTTTAACACCGGTGGGTGCGTAGGGAAACTGAGCGCCAGTCGACACCTCCAGACCCCAGGGGCCACGCTGAGTTGGGGGTGCAGGGGCCGAACTGGGGGCCTCAGGGCGGGGTCTCAGCACTGCTGACCAGCGTCCCCTCCTCTCCTCAGCGTACGTGGTGCAGGCCGTGAGAGCAGCGGGCAAGTGCGATGCGGTGTTCAAGGGCTTTTCGGACTGTTTGCTCAAGCTGGGCGACAGCATGGCCAACTACCCGCAGGGCCTGGACGACAAGACGAACATCAAGACCGTGTGCACGTAAGTGTCTTCTCTGGGCTGCTGGGTTTCTGTTCTGGGGTTGGGGGGATGCTGCTGAGGTCAGAGAATCCTCTAGTCAGACTGTGATCCATGCTCCTCACCAGAGTAAATCTGTCACCCCCTAAGCCAAGGAGGCCCCAGGGCAAGCCCTCTGGTCCGAGGACTCAGGCACCTGGTCAAAACCTGCTCTGCCCAAAGGAAACCCACCACCGGGGGTGGCCTACGGAGCAGGGTCCTCCTGCCAGGACAGTCCTGGCCCTCTGTGGCCTTATAAAGATGTACTGGCTCGTGCAACTGGGATCCATGGTGAGGGACAGAGAGCACTCCCTCCTGCTGCAAAATCTATTTTGAGGTCCTCTTCATTCTGTCCTCTTGTGAACGAATGGTCACTGAATATTCTCTGAAGAACAGTTGGTTTTGGCTTGAGGAGCATTTTGGCTCATACCAAATATGTGGAAGGGGAAGTCGCTGACCTCCTCTGTCCATTTCCCACGATAGAACACCCCTCCAGTGCTCACCAAGAAAAATGGGAGCGCTGGCAAAAGGGTGCAGGTCACCCTTCCTGTGTTTGGAGAGGCTGAAATATTTTACGTGTGTGCCAATGACTTGCCCAAGAAGAGCATGCCCAGGTGTCCAAAGACTATCACTGCCAATTGGGAGATTTAAGGTAGCCACACTCCTTGCTTCCCTCATCTCTTCCTGCAACTGCATGGTCTCCTTAGGCTAGGGCAGCTGAGAGCCCCACAAGAGCCAGGAAATTCCTGGTTAGGCCCTGTGGTGTTTTCTCAGAACTTGGCTCCAAGGTCTCTTTCTGCTAGCAAACAAGATAACCAGCAGAGCCCTATCGCAGCGGACCTGCGACATTCTGATATAGTTGCTGCAGACCTTAGAAATGCTCCCATCCTCTGCAACAACACTTCTATATAATTTTATTTATTTTCAAAAAAAAAAAAAACAGCTGCATTCTCCACCTCTACCATGGCCCTTCTGACAAAGCCAAAGAGGTGTCTCTTGTTCTCACAGGCTGGAATAATCACTCTGTACCATCTTTTTAATAGTTGGGAAGTCCTTCCCCATCCCTAATTATAGGGGACAGGGTGTTTACTTTCCTCAATGTCCAGGACCCCCTAAAAGCCCCAGGAGCTAAGTAGCTGATATCTTCCTATTACAAAAGGGATAAAGGCTTTTAATTCCAAATGTCTGATATAGGTAAGGCATAGCAAAAGGGAATATATACAGCAGCTCTTAAATCCCCCATCATTTGCTGGAAATTAGTCATTGCAGCCGTTTTAATTTTTTAGTAGGATTTGGTCCTGGAAAACAGGGAAATGAGGCAGGCTCTTCCTTGAGGTCAAAAGCCACAGCTGGGTGTCAGGCCACACTCCTGTTGCTGGTGCTGGATATTCAATATCCACCTCATTACAGCCCTAGGCGGTGGTCCTTCACTAGGTTCCTCTTCCAGGAGAGTCCTGCCCCCATCCAGGTGTGCATAAAGGAGCCATTTAGACATCTTACAGAAGTGCAGTTACACAGAAGCTCTGCAGGAGAGACGCCCCCTAGCCTCTTGGCGTCTCTAAGCCTTGACATTTGTTACAAGCTGAGGAACCTGAAAACCTGCTCCCAGCAGCCCTCCTCCTAACAGTTCTTATAATCTGGAGCCTCCAGGGGATATTAGAAAACAACCTGAACTTAAATCAATCCAATAAACACTTAGAGTATCACTGTAAGCCAGAAGATGAGGTGAAGTTGGAAACAAGAATAAATTAATCACAGCACCTGCCTTCAGCCCGCTTATAGTCCAGGAGATCCAGCAGAAGGGAGAGCAGGAGAAAATACAACCAAATTGCCAGGGCAATGGGAGGTGGTGACCTGGCACTGGGGACCCAGGTGAGGTATGAGCCAGCCTGGAGTTACTGAGACACACAGATCGACCCAGCTCTGAAAGGAGACAGCGCCCCAGGAATCGATCACGGGTTGGGATTATATTTAGTCTCAGGATCTATTTTGGGTTTTCAAAAGAAAGGGGGACAATAAAAAAAGGATAGGTTGGATGAAGGTTGTGGGGGCGGGGCTAGGAGCTAAGCCTAGGGAGGAGGAAGTGGCAGAGGAAGGAGGAAGGCGCAGGGCTCCAGGCACTGACGGAAGGGGACAGCGGGGAGCAGGGCTCTTTCTGGCTGGCAGCGGTGGGCACTGCGCCCACCTTAGAGTGAAGGCCTGGGGGGGGCTGAGCACCACACCCCGAATCCCTTGAGGAGGAGGCCCGATGGGGTTCGAATGCACAGAAAAGACTGGGGCGCAGGGAAGAGAAGGGACTCAGCTCGCAGTCCTGGAGCAATGGGTTTTGCAAAAGCTGGAGAAGGTGACGCAGTAGGCCCCGGGTGCTCGGGCGCTGACACTCACCGACCCCGAGGAGGGGAGAGGCAGGCAGGAATCTCCGGACGCATCTCTTGAGGAGGAGGCCCGATGGGGTTCGAATGCACAGAAAAGACTGGGGCGCAGGGAAGAGAAGGGACTCAGCTCGCAGTCCTGGAGCAATGGGTTTTGCAAAAGCTGGAGAAGGTGACGCAGTAGGCCCCGGGTGCTCGGGCGCTGACACTCACCGACCCCGAGGAGGGGAGAGGCAGGCAGGAATCTCCGGACGCATCTGAGCCGGGGTACTATGGAGAACAAGACTGGAGGGCGGCAGAGGATCG